CCTCCGGAGGTCGGTATTCTTATTTTTTATTTTTGAAATTCTGACCTCCGGAGGTCGGTATTTTTACTTTTTAGTTTTGGAATTCCAACCTCCGAAAGTCGGTATTTTTATTTTTTATTTTTGAAATTTTGACCTCCGGAGATCGGTATTTTTATTTTTTTAGTTTTGGAATTCTGACCTCCGGAGGTCGGTTTTCTGCTACAAAAACTGGCAGCAAATTGCTGCAATTTTAGTTGCCCACCTGCATATTTATACCAAAACAACCCAAAGAATTCCAAATAAACTTCATCCAACCAAAACAACACTATTTTTCAACATATACATTAAACTATTTTCAAAATGAACTTCATCCAACTTCAAAATAAACTAAAATACGATCAAACAATTCCAAAAATATAGAAGTCTAAAATGCCAAATAGTTACAACTACTTTTCATCACCCTCACTCTCCTTATCAGACTTATCATTCTCATCACCCTCCTGATCAGATCCATCACTCCTAGCCAGACATGGAGGAAGAATATTTCCTGATTCAAAAAGAAAAGTTAGTTGGGCCTGAAGCGCTGCATACCTCTTGTTCTCTACCTCATTTGCTGCCGCAATCTCTTCCTCTCTCTTTCTTCTCTCTTTCGGCTACAACAACAAGCTCGGCATTGAGATAAGCTATTTTACTCTCCATTGCAGATATTGTCTCTCTATCCCCGCCATCGAAGTTTGAGGATGATGAACCACAATACCAAGACTTCTTCTTCTGATACGCCTTTTCTGTATAGCCATAGACTGAACCTCTAATCGGTTCACCAGCACTCTGTTTCCAAAAATTCTCATTTTTTTCTTGTGTAAATGGTCTGTCTCGACTATCAAGAGGTAGAGTACTACGATATTCCTAAGATATTCGTATATATCTATCCTGTAATTTAAACAAAGAACTCTACGAATAAGAATGTAATATATACAAGGAAAAGAAAAAAAGATTTAGTTTGAATGGAGTTCTTACATATGAGCACGTGGCTCAATCCATCTTTCTTCTTCTGTGGGGTTCATATTCTTCTTGATGTGAGTAACCTTGAACATCTCTTCTACAGGTACCGGCCTATCAACTCTTTTTCCTGCAAATAACATATATAGAATTTGATCTCATTAATCTCCAAAAACTACTTATCAAAAAAGAAAAAAATTATTTTTCTAAATTAAGAAAGTATACCATTCTTTCCTTCCTAGTAACCCGGCTAATAGCTCCACCAGTGTGCAAAGATCCTCCCTTTTCTGATGCGCGAGTTATCTTCCCAATCTCACACCTCTTTTTAAATTTTTCATCAGTACTCCAATGTTTCAATAATAGAGCCCATCGATCCGGTAACATAAACTTAGGAATTCTGTTTTCTCTCCGATAGTCACAAAATGTGCTAGAAAGCAACTTTGAAGCTTTAAGCTTGAAGTTCACTTGAACGTCATCCTCGTGTTCGGGAGCCCATACATAATATTTCTGTAATAAAAAATAACTAAATATTTATTGTTCAAATGAATAGCGAAT